GAGGCCAGCCTGGTCTACCAAGAGAGTTCCAGGAAAGGCGCAAAGCTACACAGAGAAACCCTGTCTCAAAAAACCAAAAAAAAAAAAAAAAAGAAAAAGAAAGATTTTTCTGGCCACACGTTAAAAATCATTTGGATTCCTGGAGGAAAAACCTCCACACAGTATGTCAAATCTTAAAGGGCTACTAAATAAGATAAATAAGACATTAACAGGAAAGAGAGTGATAGAGGCTCATACATATGCTCTACTTTAGAAAAACTTTTTTTTCCTATAAAATTTTTCTAGCCATTCTTTTTTTATTAAGAAATTTTTTGTCTATTTTACATACCAAAGATTCCCTTCTTCCCTCCTCCTACTTCCCCAGCCTCCCCCTCCCAACCCACCCTCCATTCCTTCCTACAAGAAGGTAAAGCCTCCTTAAGGAGGTACATTTAGTAGAGGCAGATCCAAGCCTCCCCCAACCCCTGCCCTAAGGCTGTGCAAGGGGTCCCATCATAGAAGTGGGTTCCAAAAGGCCGGCTTACGCACCAGGGATGGGCTCTGATTCTACTGCCAGGGGCTCCCCCAAGCAGATCATGCTACACAACCTTCTTGCTATGCAGAGGGCCTTGCCACATATTAATCAAACCACTAAACATACAGAATAAAGAAAGAATATTAGGAGCAGCAAAGGAAAAAGGCCAAGTGACTTATAAAGGTAGACCCATCGATGGAGACTCTGAAAGCCAGAAGGTCCTGGACAGATGTAATGCAGACAATAAGAGACCACAGATGCCAGCCTAGATTAATATACCCAGCAAAACTTTCATCACCATAGATGGAGTGAACAAGACGTTCTGCCCATTCTTAAGGGACTGCCTGCTCTCAGTAATAGGCATTTATGCCATGAAGCATGGGAAATCATGGTTTCTGAAAGTTGTAGTTGCCATCTTTAATCAGTCATTAGAAAGCTTTATTTATTGTCCCCACATGATTTCAAAGCACCTCCTTCAGGTCCCCATCACACTGAGCAAAGATACATCGCATTGTCCATGCCCTAAATGCTCCTTCAAAAAAATAACCAATATGAGTTTTAACAAAGTAGAAGAATCAAAGTCATAATGGTACCTGAATTTTCTTCCTCAAGACTATTAATGTTTATGTATCATTAGTTAATATTCACATGAGCAACTCTCCAGTGTAAGTTTCTGAGTACTTTTTCATGCATTTTCATTTTTCTGTTTGTTCATTTATTTCATCTACTTTTATCTGTCTCTCAATGTTTGCTGCATTTCATGACAAAATTGACAAAAATAAGGAAGGGAAGATTTCAATGGACCACAGTTCTGGTCTATCACCACTTGTTTGCCTTCCTTTAGAGTACATATGGCGTGAGGCAGAATTTCATGGTGGGGACCATGTGGTAGGTCTAGGGATAAGATGGAAGATCTGAGAATGATCTATAGGAATGAGTTTCAGAGAAAGGGTGGAGACAGTGGGACTTTTAGGTTCTTTTGAAGCAGGGAAGGAGTTCATTATTCATAGAACTTATTTGAGTTACAGATTTGACAAGTAATAATGATCCTATATTATAGAGAAACATCTGCTAAAGTGGAGTCGAAGAGCCAGTCAATTCTGTGAAGTCAGTAAAGTCTGCTGCTTGATGGCATGTACACAAAACCCACCAACTGATCTACTGAGCCTTTCACTTCTGAATGGGTTGTTTGGCATCTCGTAGACCCAGCCTATGATTATACTACCATCTGTATTCTTTCTTACATCAGGCTTATTTCAGCCACAAGTTATACATGCTGTTTTGAGAAGATCTTGTCAATATTTTGGTTTGTCTATAACTATAAGAGCGCCGTAGACAGTCTTGAGTGAACTTGGCGCTGCCTTGATAATTCTCCGTCAGTTCTGGCAGCCATAGGAATTTAAGTTCATGGTGTAGATATTTGGATTCCCCTCAAAATAAAAATAAAATATGTAAAATAAAATCTTAAAATAGGCTGCTTTTTTTTAAAACAAGAATACCCAAATTCCTAGAAATGGACAACCATAGTCAATACATGTGCATGTATAATTTTAATGTAAAAACAATGTGAACAGAACAGAATATTCTAAAGTTAACAATTGCTCGTGTTATCTTAGGTTCCAAGCTGCATGAAGCAATTGAATAAATCTTCCCTTTCTGAATTTAACAGCTCACTGATGCTTTTGAAGGTATAAGATCTTGTGTCATGGTAGATTATTTCATTGAAATTAGAAAACGAACTAAAATGCTACTTGTATTTTTACCTCACTCACACTCTCACAACTCAGAGTATTACAGTGTCACAGTTCTTAGAATGCACTTATGAATCCTCCCTATCGGTGCTGGAATATTGACTGGCTTGATTTTGTTCAAGCAATCACAATTGCTAAGGTTTTACAAATGCAGGGGTCCAGTCATGTCAAAGATATACTATGGTGGTCTGGTCCTCCTCCACCTCTGGCCATTACAATCTTTCTGCCTCCTTTTTCAGGATGATCTCTGCATTTGTAGGGGAGACTGTGGCACTTTGCTGAAAGGTTTATCAATTCTAAGAATTTTCTAGTAGAATCTTTATGTAGAAAAGAATCTTGAGAAAAAGGAAATTTGTAGTGAGAAAACAGAGTCAATTTATTCAAAAGCAGAAAATAAAGATACCAGCAACAAAATATAAAAGGAGAGACAAGTTTTAGCTCAAAGTAAGATAGAAGTAAGGATGAATATATTACCAATGACAATAAATCCAAATGAGGACACAGTACAGTGAAAGAAACATATAGGCAAAAATTTCAAATAGTTTAACAAGAAAGATTGGAAACACTATTCCATTTTATATTTGCCAATTTGCCATAAACAGAAAAAAACATAATTGTACAGATTGCTTAATATTGAGGACATTGTGGGTTAAAAGGAATTAATGAGATTTAAAATGGGAACTGGATTTGACTGTGAAGAATTGAAAACTGTTTGAGGAGGTAGATATGTTTACCAATAAAAGCATCACATGAAATATTCATGCATTGAAACATATGTTGTAGTCCATCAATGCATACAATTTAGATTTTAGTTATCAGTTAAAGCAAGTTCTTTAAGAATAGCTAAGTAACCATAGATAATTTGGTTTATATATAAAATATAGAATTTAAAAATATTAGGCACCTGAAATATATTAAGCAAAGTCTTGTCCTCAAACACTTTATGAGATGACTCATCTGTCAAAAGCATGCACTAAACCTGCAGTGGAGTTCTGTTCCGAGCACCCAGATTGGACTGCTAGAACCACCTGTAACTCCAGCTCTAGAGGGATCTATGTCTCTCATCACCACAGGTACCTGACTAAGGTGCACATACCCATAATCACACACACACACATTATAAATATACATACATGTACATCTGCATACTCATAATTTAAATAGAATTCAGATGCATAGTCAAGTAAAGTTATAAGAATTTTGGTAACTTGAGTGTGGTGGTATTGTGTTCCCCAAAATATTGTACATCTTAATAAACTTATCTGGGCTCAGAGACAGAACAGCCACTAGATACAAAGGCTAGAAAATGGTGGCACTCACACCTTTAATCCTAGCACTCCAGAGGTAGAAATCCCTGTGGATCTCTGTGAGTTCAAGGCCACACTGGAAACGGCCAGGCATGGTGACACATGCCTTTAATCCCAGAAAGTGAGCCTTTAATCCAAGGGAGTGGTGGTAGAAAGCAGAAAGGTATATAAGGCATGAGGACCAGTAACTAGAAGCATTTGGCTGGTTAAGCTTTCAGGCTTCTAGCAGCACAGTTCAGCTGAGAGCCATTCGGATATGAGGACACAGAGGCTTCCAGTCTGAGGAAACAAGACCAGCTGAGAAGTCGGCCAGGTGAGGTAGCTGTGGCTTGTTCTGTCTCTCTGATCTTCCAGTTCACCCCAATACCTGGCTCAGGTTTGATTTTATCAATAAGAACTTTTAAGATTCCTGCTACATTTGAGTGGCTAGAGATGTGGCTCACTGGTTAAGAGTACTTATTGCTCTTGTAATGGATGCAGGTTTTGATCCCAGCACCCAGATGGTGACACACAATCACCTGCCACTCCAGTTCCAGGTGATCTGGCACCCTCTTCTGTTTTGTAGGATCTTGCATGTACATGATACACACAGAAACTTATGCAGGTTCACACTCTCACACATAAAAACTTAAAAATACTATGATGAAAATATTAATACAATTGTTTGAAAAAAACATTTCCAACAAAAATTAAATAAAACTTAAGACAAATACAAGAATAAGTGTCACCATCTTAGGATGTTTAAACAAAAGCTGTCACTAAAAGTGACATGCAAATCAGAAAAAAACTTGCTCTATCGCACATACAAAGAACATGCCCCACATTCCTCTTTTTATTTCCAAAATTAAAGCAATGTATATCGCTCTTACACAATTTCGAAAAAGTCTCTACAAATATGGACTTTTGGGTACATCACTATAACAAAAGTTATGCCTGGTCAAGTTAGGAACAGTTTCATGGTACTGCTCAAATCCAGCCGCTGGTCAAGTCCTCTCAATTGTCAGATATGTGCTTTGCCCTTAGTTCATCGTTCCTTTCCATTTACTCCTGTGTTTCCTTAAGCTCCTGAAGAAGCTGAGTTCATTCTCAAGATGTGTCATTATGGATTTTTCTGATTTCTTAATTATGGTGTGAAATTTTTCTGCTTCCTGTATTCTTTTCAAATGAAAATTTAAGCCTTGGCGTGAGAGTTTTGGATGGAGGTGTTAGGGAAAAATACTTTTTTTTCTTTTTTCTTTTGAAACCAGAACATTTATTTTATGACTGAGTGAAATTCCTCAAGATGAACTGGATGCTGCAACAGCTGCCCTCTTGGGTTTAGGTTTTGTCCCTTCACGGGATCCATGTTTGAATCTTCGATAGACAATTTTCAGGTGCCTCATCCGCCCAGTCTTGGTAGTGTTTCGTCTCTTAGCCTTGGCACTCCAGTTACACTTTCTCTTGCACTGGGCCACACTTGCCACAGGTCGACTTCTGAAGGTGGTAGGCCTTAGAGCCACAGTGGTGGCACAGCGTGTGTGTCTTATTGCGACGCTTTCCAAAGGATGATGTTCCTTTCGTCATCTTGCTTCTGCTACGGGGGCCAAAGAGCGAAAAAAATACTAAATGTTACATTACAACCTGCTCTGGTTTCATCTCCATTGCTGTGATTAAATTCCCTAACCAAACTTAGGGAAGAAAGGGTTTATTTACCTCAAAACTCATTCATAGCTCACAATTTCAAGGTATAATTCATCATAGTAGGGAATTAAAGTGTAGCTGGGACTAAAAACACCCATTCCCATCACATCCACAGCAGAAAGAGAGAACGAATGTGTGCGTGTTCAGTTCTCAGATAGCTTCCCTACTCTTATCTAGAGTCTAAACTCAAGAATAGCGCTGTCCACCGTGGGTCGAGTCTTCCCTTATCAGTCAATGTCATTCAGATGGCTCCCCATAGATATGTGCACAGGCCGACCTGGTCTAGGTAGACAATCCCTTATCAAGACTCTCTTTCCGTGTTATTTAGGGGCCCTCAAGTTGATGAAACTAACTAGTGCATATACAGAGGGCACCAAATCTGACTGTGTCTGTCAGTCATTCTGAGACTGCTCAGCTGTTCATTCAGTGTCTATTTGATGCACACTCAAATTTGCCGTCAGCACTTCTAGTGATATTTTCATCCGTAATTACCGTTATCTATGTTTTGAACAATGTTACCTATGCCTTCCAAGACAAAGAGACAGTTTAGAAAATTGAAGATGTTTCTCTATAAAACAAGTATCTGCTCATCAATGCATTTTAGTTTTTACCACACAGACCACTTCCTGTCATCAGTATTAAATTTAAATGGAACTTTTTAAAACTCAATTTTATGTTCAATTTTATTTTAGTCAGCCTTAAACATGATATAAAAAAATCACAAGCCAATTTCCCTTTTGAATTAAAATTCAAAAATTCTGAATGAAATATCAGAACATTAAAATCTGACCTGTAGAATAAAATTGAAATCTTTCCAGAGAAAGTTAATTATACTTTGGAAGAACTATATAATTCAGCTTGCAAAGAAACAAATACAGAAATGTTACCTAATAGATGAACAAAAGCCTTCATTAAACACTAGATTTTATATATATAATAAAAAAAGAAAGAAAAACACTTAAAGTAGAGATTGAGGGGTGGAGGGAAATTACATTAATTTAATAGGCAGTAACTAATAAGATGATATTTAGCCAAGAAATGGTTAAAAAGTGTTGGCTTTCATGTTGGTTATTAAGAATACTGAGGGAAAGGAGGGATAAAAAATACTAAGGAGAATTAAAAAAACAACAAAATCATTATTTTATTTTTAACCTAAAAATACTTACATAATGTATAGGAATATATGCGTATGAACATACCAATAATATAAACGAAGTCACATAACTTGGGGTAAGAGTGCTCCCCCCAAGAGCAGCTGTCTAACAAAAACCCATGGTGCCAGGCATCCAGAACCTTCCTTTGACTTAGCAGTCAGGGGAGCTTGGGAGAATCCCAGAACAATGTAGGCCAACCAGAACTTTAACGTAAGCTCTTATTTCTTAAGACACCATACACTTCAGACTTAGGCCATGAAGGAATCAATCTGGAATCTGCCTTAGGACTAGCTCTCACAACATCCTGTGCTGTAGATGCTACCAGAGGAGAATGGCAATTAAAAACCCTATTCAGTTGTAAAGTTACAAATCACAACAGTGACCAGCAGGATAAGATACACCTAGGGATACAATAGTGGCACTTTCCTTGGGTGTAACACGTAGCATCAGTGTCCACTCAGTAGATGAGAATTCTTGCCTGATAGTGTTAGCATAGTCAACTACTGTGGCTGATGGAATCATGAATGCCCATGGAGAAGCCCCTACTGGCACTTTCCTAAGTCAATGTAATTCCCAGCAGCATTCTAAAAACTTACCCTTGTACCCACGGGTTAGTGTGTAGCTCTTTTAGAACCTTCCTTTTGCAGTGGAGAGACACTATCACAGAAATCCTCAGCTGGTCAAAACTGAGAATACCTGACTGTTCACTGCCCAGCTCATATATCTACAACAGAACCCCTACACCTAAGGCTCAGGGTACATCTCAGAAAAGGATACAGAGGACCAGAACATCTGTTTTGTGACGGTGTTTTCTGTATTCAACAGGGATACGCCCCCGTGAAAACTCAGCAATATGGCTGCCTAAACAAGCCTTGTATACCAACAATGCTAGTGGACATACCAGCAAGAGAGGAGCAAATCTCGTAAGACCTCACCCCAGATGAAGAGATACAGGCAATTGAGGGCTGCTGAGAAAAGGAAAATCAGTCTTGTCCAAAAATGAACCTTCTGACAATTTATCCAATCCCAAGAGGCCATTCCTAAACACACAGGTATGAGCAACACTAAATGGACTCAACAAGTCATGTGTGTATGTGTTCATTTTTTTTCAGTCAATTCTAAACATGATATGAAAAATATATGTATACATACAACCTACTGAGTTCATTGATGTGTGTGTGTGTGTGTGTATGTGTGTGTGTGTGTGTGTGTTTATATGTGTATGTTTAAAGAAGTCATGAAGTTGAGAGGGAGTGGGAAGAAGAAGAGAGGAAGGGAGTTGGATAGGGTACTTTGTGGAGGGGAAATGAAATATATGAAATTCTAAACAAACAATAAAATAAATGTTAAAAAAGAACAACCCTCCCAGTTAAAGAAAAAGAAAGAAAGAAAGAGAGAGAGAGGGAGGGAGGGAG